AAAAGGATATGTGATTAGGTATTTTTGTCATGACAGGAATCTAGAGCGAAGGCTACATGGTGGACCTGGGGGAGGGTTTGTGAAAAAAATGGAAGAATTTGTGTTTTACTTTTCTAAGAGGGTAGTGTACTAGGGGGGAGGGTTGGGAAGGGAGAAAAGTGCAACAATGAATGAATGGAAATCCAAAGTCTCTGTAAATTTTTACTGAAATTAATAATAATTTTAAATAAAAAAAGGAAAAAAAGAAAGAAAAGGTCAGAAGAGACCAAGAAACTTGACCTAGAACTTAAGAAATTAAAAACAAAGAGAAAAATAGGCTATATTACATGTTGTTGTTGTTAATTGCCATCGAGTTGTAGGCAACCCTGTGAACAAAATGCCTGATCACTTATATAACTTTCATCATTTCTTCAAGTTCATAGGGTTTCTGGAGGCAAGGTATTTTGGAAGTGGATGCCACCCCTGCTTCTAAGCTTGTTTTAATCAGGTAGCTCCACAAAACACTGTCCACCATGGGTAACCATTTTCTCATTTGACACATCAGTGACACAGTGTTCAGCATCACAGCAACCATGAGCTACCTCTGCACAGCAAATAGACACACCAGTGCTATACCACTTAGAAGAAGGTTTGACCAAAATCAATTAAAACTATTCCCGAGGGCTGCAAATTAAAATCACCTGTCTTTGGCTTGGTAACATCACTTTCTGTTCACTAGGCCAACTGAGCTCTCTCTATGTTCTTGTTGTATACATTCTATACTATATATACTACAGCAACAATACTATATGTACATATCCTAACACACACATACATGCATTTGGAGCCCAGTATGTTGTCTGTCATAGTGATGTTACTCTGAGAGGTTCAAGTGTCTTGGTTATTCTTGAAAGAAATAGGTAATGAGATCCAATAGTTTTGAGGTTTTCCATAGATGTATGGATGTTTTGCTTTAATGCAAAGATAAATACAAGTCACTAGTGTCTGATCTCGACCATACGTCCATGTTTCTTCTGGTTTCTCCTTCCTATAAATGTCTTCATTTCACCTCAACTTAGTAAGTTTCTTCCTTACTCTGAATTCTCTCCACTACAAGCTTATAAATTCTATAAATACAGTTCAGTCACTTGTAATTCTATTCATTCCTTAGGGACATGCTACAAATTCAGGCCAATTGGTTCTTGATAAGTAGGTGGGGACTCTAGAAAATTTGATGTCTCTAATTCTTTCTCAACAAAGCCTAGGTTTATAGCCTGGCTAAGAATGGAGGAAACTGATGTTGATAGCCATATCTATGTAATAACCTTTTTGTTCAGGTAAGTGTCCAGATTCTCGGTTTTGGAGGAGCAAGCCTTATGATTTAGTCTTCATGGGTAAGCTGATAGTTGTGGGTATGTGAAAGAAAAAGAATGAAATAAAACAGTTTAATATTTTCAAAACTTTTTGCCCCTATAAAACTTGTGCTCATACTTATGTGAATATTCTGTAATTCCTGATATGAAGTATGTGTTTCCTTGCAGATTGGCGGAAAGAGCAGTTTCAGGCCTGTGAGTGACTTGACTATGCTTTCTGGGAGTTATTCTTGTCTGTCCTGTGGGTTTTGGCCTCTTCTTCAGTTCTTTCTTATGATAAATATTAAGAAAGATATCATTGATGTTATGGGTAGATGCTGGAGAGGATGAAGTGTATAGCTAATATTGAATGCTAAATAAATAACCCCAAGCCCCTGGTTCCAGGCTAGTTCTTAGTGGCACTGTGAGAGACCTAATCCACAGAATGTTTGGTTGGTTTGTTTTTTTTTCCTGGATCACAGCTTTTATTATTGTTATTATTATTTTAGATGTCAAAGTATTTCTTTATTATTTTTTAATTATGATTTTAATGAAAGTTTACAGAAAAGTTGGTTTTTCATTTTTTTGTAGTTGCACATTTTCCTCCCTACCCCCCTACCTCAGTGTTGTTTTTTTTCTTTTTTAAATTCATTCATTGTTGCATAATTTCCTCCCTTCTCCCCACTATACAGTTCACTTTGCTTTGCATCTCTGACATGGGGGTTGAGGAGAAACTAAAAAAAGAGGCATAAATAATGAACATTGCTTTGGAACAGATGAAGGAAAGAACTGTTTAAAAGGAATATATGATTAAGCATTATTTGTATGACAACGGTTCTTTTCATTTCTTCTCCTTGTTGGAAGACCATAAGCTCAAAGCACTAACTCTCAATTAAAGCTTCTTAGCTCTAGTCTCATGACACAGCTTATCTCTGTTCTCATCACAACTTTGAAAAAAGGTGATTTGGGGTACTTATGGCTCAAGATAGAGCCTTGCATTGGTTGGTAACTCTCTTCACAGGGTCTGTCACTTTGGATCCATGTTCGGCCCATCCTGAACTTGCTTTCTCTCAGGAAAACAGGACGCTGACCTGGAAGTACATCAGTAAGAATTCAGACTATAAAAAGTGCAGTGTATTGGGTCTTCAGGGCATCAGTTCAGGGCGATACTACTGGGAGATAGAAGTCAACAATGGAATGGAAGGCACATGGACTGTTGGAGTTTGCAGGGAAGATGTAGCTAGAGGGGACTTTTTTATAGAGTGCCCAGAAAGGGGTTTCTGGGCTGTGGGACAACATTTAACAGAAGTTTATGTTTGTACTAGTCCTGAGAAGAAACTGGCTCTGAGACAGATTCCTTGGCGGGTGGGGGTTTTCCTGGACTATGATGGAGAGGATCTCTCCTTTTACAACATGATTGATGGATCCTACATTTTCTCTTTCTCCAATGTTTCCTCATCTGGGACCCTTTTCCCATATTTTATGTTTGAGTCATATCGTGTCAGAACAGAAATGTCTCTGACCATCTGCACCATGGCAAGTATGACTAGAGGATTTCCTGCACGTATTAACAAATCTTCTTTGGCTGAGTCACTGAGCCCTCTAAGAAAGAGGTTGAGCTCTGGTTCTTGTGATGACACCATTACTCCAGGGGCTAAATCCCCATTACTCTCCCACAACAGCAAGGCGATGTCCACATAGAACACATTTTTGTCCTTGTCTCCTCACTATGGCTCTTCTTAGAGGTGCAAACTCTCTGAGGAGGGAGACTTGGATGAAGACGAGGAGCACTGGATGGCACTGGAAGTCATGTCTTTGTACTTTTGGAACCAGATTCCTGGGGGGAATGTGTGGATCAGAAAACTCATGTCTTATTCTGTTATAGAAGGAAGAAAATAGCTACATTATATGTGTGTGTTTGTGATAGTTGAGCACACATAGACTATAGTAATGGAAGATTACTTACCTTTGGTAATGGAAAACACATTGTGAACATGTTAAAAATTAGTTTTTGTGTATTTGTACACATTATGTTATATATAATTGATTACTATTCATCAATGTCTTGTCACTCCACCTCATCAAATCCCCATTGTACTTGGCCTATTTTTCACTCTCTCCACCATTTGACCACTAATCTCTGCTACCGTAATGTCCCCTCTTTCTTCCAACCCTCTTCTTCCTTTCCCACACCCCTTTTAGATTTTTATATATATCCTGTTAATATTGCTAATTGCGATAGTCATATTGTCCTTTCATCAGTTCCCCCCAGATTGATCTTTTCCCATCCTGATCTTTAATACTATCCACTTTCTGTACTTTTAATTTGTACTCTCTCTATTGAAAACATTTAACAATGTTTTTATTTGAAAAGAGATGAGCTAAAACTCTTGGAAAGATTAAACAATTTGCTTTATCCAACTTGATTTTGTACAGAGTATAGGTCCCTAACTACTGTGTACATTTTATCAGGAGGTATCAGTCCTTAGAAAAATACATTATACTGGCAAAAAATAGGTCAGTAAAACAGAGAAAGACCCTCAATGATATGGATTGTAGAACTACATCACTTGCTTCTTTGCTCCCCTTAATCCCTCCATTTTAATATATAGGTTTCATGAATAGCTTCTTTTAGGTTTAGCACAAATATGGTCCCCAAATCACTGCAATTATGGGCTTGTGCATGACAAAGATTGTGAAATGGCACAAGGCTTAGATCTGTTGTTCATAAAGTTTTTATGAGTACAGTCAGCTCAATGGCACCTAACAACAATAGGAAATCTGATCAGTCTAGGCTTTTCTAACCCAAAGGTTGTGCCTTTTTGGCTATTTAAATCCACCAGCAGCTCTGTTGGAGAAAGATGAGCAATTTCCTCTTATTTATAGCCTCAGTAATCCACTGAAAGGTCAGATATGACTTAGTTCCATTTAAAAGGCAAAGAGAGGAATTCTGACTAGAAAATGTGCATATTTAAAAATGCTCAGAGACATGATAGAATACTATGCAGCATCAGGAGCAGCACTTTTGAAAAGTACTATATAACTTTAAAGAGGCTAGCATTATGATGAGTGAACTAACTCGGTGCATAAGAACAGATACTGTTTAGGTCCATTGTTGTAAAAACAAAAGGATAACCAGTGAGATATTTATGATTATACAAATAGTTTTAGCTGATGTTCATGAAGAGTGATGAGTACTTAAAACTGTGCCACTAATGAAAAGAAATTCTATCTAAAAAGATGCATTTCTGTCTCAGAACTATGTCACACCATTCTTTGAGCCTTCTGCTGGAAATGTAAAATCATGTCTAAAATAATTCCTTTTTAGTAGTATCTTTTAGTGTTATAGATGTAGGACTGTACTGTATCATATAATTCTATGAATGTAAAAGATCTTGTAATTGTTTTATGATATGGAATAATGACAGTGCTATACCAGAGCTGCTTTTTAAATGATGTTATTCCAGAACGTTTTTTTTTTTTTTCGTGATGTTCCTCTCCAAGGACTGGTCCCTCCTTACAACATGTCCAAAGTATGTTAGATGAAGCCTCAGAATTCTTGCCTCCAAGGAGCCACCTGGTTTAACCCTTTCCAGGATGAATCTGTTTGTTTTCCTAGCAGTCCACGGTACCCTCAATAATCTTCTCCAGCACCAAAGCTCAAAGGCATCAATTCTCCTTCTATCCTCCTTACTCATTGTCCAACTCTCTGATGCATAACAAGTGATTGGAAAGACTGTGGTCTGTATCAGATGCACCTTAGTCTCCAGAGAGACACCATTGCTCTTTAGTACTTTGGAGAGGTCCCTAACAGCAGACTTTCTCATAGCAATACCTCATTTGTGCTTAGGATGCTCATATTTGAGTGGCCCTCTTAAATAATTGAAGGGATGATGGAAATGTCTGAGGGAGAGAATTGAAGGCAGATTCTAAAATGAGAACATGCTTGCCAGGCAAGTCACAGTGGATCAGCTAGTGCATGTCTAGCAATAAGAAGGAGAGGTAGAATAAAGCAGAAGGAAGAATCAGAAGTGGATAATGGAAATGCCTTGATATAAATAAGAACTTTTAATTTTTGACACCAGGGGAATTAGAAAGTCTTTTGAGGGGGTTAGGGCCTGGATTTCCCGGGCCCCAGGTAGCAGAAGATCCCAGGATGAGGAGGAGTGGCACCATCTTGGCCTTGAGGCCTGCTGACCGATGAGCTCTGTGCGGAGGTCAGGGGTAAGGAGCAGTGGCAGAGAGGCAGTGGGTGGCCCTGGGTATGTATGCCCTGGAGGCGCAGGGCTGCCCAGAGGGCGCCGCCAGAAAAGCCCCAGAGGCAGCGCTCTGCCCAAGCAGCCAAAGCTAGCCTGGCCTTGGCTTTCCTGGGCGCACTGTCCATTACAGCGCTGTGCACTGCCCTCGCCGAGCCCGCCTGGCTGCACATCCACCGAGGCACCTGTTCTCGCCAGGACCTGGGGGTCTCCGACGTGCTGGGCTACGTGCATCCGGACCTCCTAAAAGATTCCTTCATGAATCCTCAGACCATACTGCTTCTGTAAGTCATCGCTGCCTTCTGCTTCCTGGGCATCCTGTGCAGTTTCTCCACTTTCCTCCTGGATGTCTTTGGGCCCAAGCATCCAGCCCTGAAGATCACCCGTTGATATGCCTTTGCCCACATCCTCATAGTCCTGCAGTGTGTCACTGTCATTGGCTTTTCTTTTTTTTTTTTCCTAAGCCACAGGACTTTTATTGCTAATGAGTGGTTATTCAGTGAAACGGGCCTGCTTCAGAAGTGGCCCTGCAGCCACACAGAGCTGGGGAAGGGGGACGAGGAGGAGGAGGAGGAGGAGGAAGTAGCCAGGGTAAAAGATGCACTTCTCTAGCACCTCAAACTAGAGAGTTTCTCTTCAGGTGTTTTTTTATGGCGGACAGAGAGCTTTTTGGGATTCCTCTGGATCATGGAGAGAGCAAACCTTGAGGAAGACCGGTAGCCTAAGTCCTCAGCTTTTATTGGTTTTATGTTATGGCCTGGCTTGGTGACAACCTTAGGAGTGATCAGCTTTTGGAATGCTCTCTGGGTGTTCCACGTTGACCCTATAGGGGTCTGGATGGTCCTTTCAAATTGCCTATGGTGGGTGAATGGGTACAGGAGCACGTGTACCTGATGAGCTGCTACATGGACGTTGCGTTTCTCGTTGATGATCACATTCGGCAAATTCTTGTCCTTTCTTGGAGGACCCTCGGGTGCTTTAATGAGAAACCGGCATCTTTTTTTAGCACTGGGTTGCAGGCCCATAACACCCCATTCGCCCCAGCCAGGCAGCGTCAGGTCCACATCCTTGGGCTTATTCGCCTCCACAGCTTCCCGTTTTTCTTTCAAGAAGTCCCAGATGACATTATCCCCAGCAAACGCTTCCTTTATCATCTGCTTTTGGGCTCTCTCTTTATCTTCCAACTCCTCCACGGCCGTGGGAACTGCCAAAGATTTCACCGATGGGGATTTTGGTGGTTAGTAGGTTCTGCAGGTTGATCATCTGCGTCTTCCTTTTCTTCTTATTCTTAGGGACCTCGGGCTGGGTCTTTGGGTCCATCTCCATCTGCTGTTCCTGTAGCACAGGCCTAGCATACTCCGTGGTTTGGAAACTACTTTCTTCGCCCAGCTCTTCTAGCTCCTCGAGCATCCGCACTCTCTCTGGCCTCTGCAGCAGCAGGGGCTCCTCCTCCTCCTCCTCAGCCACCTCCTTTCACTGCACTGGGAGAAAAGCCCCCATAGTTTTCTCTTTCTGCTTCCTGGACTGCTGGTATTGCTTGTGGAGTTTCTGAGACAGTACCTTCAGTTCAGATAGCACCTCCTGGCTGCTGATATCTTGTGGTTCTTGATTGCCCTCGGGTTCCTCATCTAGCTTAAGCTCAGAACTCTTTCGAAGGGCTCGTCTTTCCTCAAATTCTTTCAACAAGTTTTCTTCGGCCGCCCCTGGGCTTTCTTCCGCCTCGCTTTCAGACTCCTCGTGGGCTGCACGCTCAGGAAGCGGTTTAGAATCCTGGATTTCGCGCTCTGGTGCTGTTTCGGAACATCCAGGGATTTGGCCCATTGGCACTCATTTGGATTTTGTTCACGGCCTCAGGGCCAAGTTCAACCTCTTCTAGGGTGTCCTCCTCTTCCTCACTCTCAGGTGCTGCCTGGAGTTTCTGTGTCAGCTCTTTGTTCTTGGCCAGTTTTTCCTGCATGGCCTGGCGAGCCTCCAGGTCATACTTGGTGATGATTGCCTTTGACTTGGCCCACTTGCCACTGTTCTCGTGCTTAAGGCTCATTCGCTCCATCATCCTGGCCTTTTCAAGCTTTTCCAGTTCTTCCAGTGCTGCAGTGGGATCAACCTTCTGCAGAGCCTCAAAATCTTTGAGGGCTTTGTTAGCCTTTCCTTTCTTCACCATTTTGTGGTACATTTTGCTTTTGATTTTCTTCTCTCTTCTAGCTTGGCCTCATAGTAGGACTGCAGGGCCCGGGTCCTCTGAAATGTGGCTCCGTGCAACTTTACCTCTTCCAGGCTCATGGCTTTGAGAGAGGCCTTTTCCACTGGAGTCAGTAAAGGTCCGTAATTGACTGCTTGTTCTTGTGGAGGACGTTAAAAATCTCCTGCTCCAGGGGTGTTCTTGCCTTCCAGCCACTGAGCACATGTTCAATGGGAGCAACAGATGACTGCTCCTTTTCCAGTGGAAAAACCAGCTGCTCTGCTTCTCCGTTCTTTAGAACTACAGGATCCCATTTGGAAAGAACTTGGGAGGTTTTATTGAATACCACTTCTCTGTGGATCCTGGAAATCTCTTCTTTGTTAAGGGGTACCTCCACAGTCTTTTTTGATTTGACTCTATTCAGTTGTTTTTTCACAGTGGCCAAGGAGGATGAAGTTTTCACAGGCTGAAGCAGATCTAAAAGGACCAGCTTTTCTCTTGTTCCTTCAGAACTGACACTGAACTCTGACACCTTCAGACTAGCCTCTAATCTCTCAGCCAGTTTCCACCTAGTCTTGCCATCAAGGGAAGTGATTGATTCCAGAAGCTTTTGATGTTTCGTATCTCCATCACTGTCCCCTTCATTTTCACTGGCACTCCGGGAGTGATCTTTTGGCAAATCCTCTAGTTCTTCTTGTTTGCTCAAAGCCAAAAGGCTCTTTGCAGAAGCCACACTCATACTCTCGGCCTGGGTATCACACGTGTGCGACAAGCGGAAGTCAAAAGCGGGACGATTTTGTCATTGGCTTTTCTTACTGGGCTTCTGAACTCATCTTGGCCCAGGAGCAGCAGGAGCAGCAGCAGCAGCAGCAGCAGCACAAAAAGTACCAAGGCTTCCAGGTCTACGTCACCTTTGCCATTAACACCTGGTGACCAGAGTTGGCGGAGCCTCAATCCTGGCCACGAAGACCAACCTCCTATGCCACTACCCTACAGAGGAGGAGGAGCAGTAGCTGGAGCTGCTGTCTGGATGCAAGCCGTATCCAGCTGAGTGTGAAGTCATCAACCAGTTCCAGCCACCCGCGCCCTAGACGCCATACATAGCACCAGCCACTGGAATCCCTGCCTCAGCTCCCTGTATCTCATGCCACAGCTGCAAGAGGAGCTCCTTTCCCCAGCAGACCTCACTGTAGCACCCCACATAGCATCTCTCAGCCTTCCCCCAGAAGGACCCTGCCTTTAGAATTGTTCATATGCCCAGCTCTTGAAAACTGGGGTGCATAGATTTGACACAATGCACTGTCTCCCCACTTGCACCCTTTTCCATTCATGGTCATTAGTCATAACCAACCAGGGATGGTAATCATGTCATCTCCTCCCTTCGTGAACCATATATTTGGGACTGGGACTGTCTTTGGGGCACTAGTGACAGTGCACAGTCCCAGACAGAAGTGTCATCAGGGCTCAAAGGAAGGGGATTGTGCCCCGCAGGCTTGATTTATAAGGGTCAGGGTTTTCCCAAGGTTGTGGTTTTGGGCTAACCACCTCCTTCTTGGAGTGCTCCAATACCAGGCCACACACTTTATGCCGGTCTCTGCACTTTAGGCTTGGACTTTTTATATAAGAAGAAGAAGTCGCTGTTGGGATGTGAGGCAATCTGTCTCCTGACTCCACCCTTGCTTTGTGTGGCTGGGCCCAGGTGGGAAGAGCAGTATGGCCTGAGACGGGTGCCCTGGTGCCCACCAAGTCAGAGCGAAGGGGTGAAGCCTCCTGGTCCTCTCACCTTTTACAGTGGAGGTGATTTTAAAGAAGAAAAAGAAAACCAAACAGCAGCAACAATACTGTCTTTAAAATTGAGGCAAGGCTCTTATAATTTTCCAGAAATATCTTTCCATTTCTTTTAATTCTGCAATATTTTAGGTTCCAGTTCCTTCCAAACCTATGTCCTGCCTTGAAACTCTTTCTGCAAAATGAAGCCTCCTTCTTTTCCCCTCCTTCCCCCTGACTGCGGTTCCTGGGCCTTGCTGTAGAATCCTGGGTCCCATTGCCCTGGAGGTGCTGAAGACCCTGTGGTCTGGCTGGCCGGCCAGTGTGGTGCTCCTCAGGACTGCAACACTGAGATGTAACCTGGCCTCAGTTCAGAAGCAGTGGCCACAGCATGGCGGGACAGCTCCTGCTCTCCACACTGGAGAGCAGTCCTATTGGTCAATAGGACCAATAACCAGTGGGACCAGTTGGACTCGCAACCAGTGGGGCCCGTGATCTGAGGCTGCAGAACCACCAATCAAACCAGTGGACCTGGCTGTGAGCTTTCAGGCTCAGCACGCCCCCGAGTGTAACTTGGGGCTACAGCCTGCTGCATGCCCCTCTCCTAGTACCGTGGTCGTGTCGTGGGCTGCTGGTTTCTTCTTTTTTTTTTTGGTTTCTTCTTGCCAGCTGTCACTTTAGTGGCCCACACGTGACTTTGAATCTGATTGAATTTTTCTGCCCTGAGAGCTAGGGCATAAAGTGTGTGAAACTTGAGAGACTTTTAAGTGTGGATGCAAATTGCTGAGCTTCCTTTGTGAAATACCAGCTTTTCTGGAATCTGCCCAGTACTGAACTGAGAAGGAGACAGTTCCCAGTCTCTTCCCACCCCTGAGGCCATGATAGAGAATGGGACTGGAGAGTGGACACTGCTGCTGGGCAGTGACAGGGCAAGTACTGTCAAATGATTCCACTGTCCCAGTCATCAGCCCAGGCTGGTTAGGGAGAGTTCATTGCTGTGGT